TTTCATTATTTCGCGTTATTTTGAACTTCGATAAATAAATCTATAACTAACGGAATTTTAAATTCTTGAATAAAATTGTACTTGTTTTATTTGAATTTTTTTACATTATATTATTTTTACATTTTATATACAAATATAAATTAGGATCCGATTTTATTTAATCGGTCTATTTATAACGAAGAAAACGGTACAGCAACTTATAAAAACTTATGATATGATTAAAAAACAAATTTTAAATTATTTAAAATTTTAATTTTATATATAATGTCAGTTAATAATTGTTATATGCAAATACGTAAAGTTTGCATTTCTCACTGTAAGTTTTCATTAATGTGTTAGATAAACTAAATTTACTTGCTAATTATATTCTTAATTAGTTTATAATAATAATTTTATAAATGAAAAATTAAGAAAATATAAATATAGACTCTTGTATTTCTTTTACAAAATATTGTAAAGAACATTTAGACTATAAATTTACACAACTAAAATTCTTTATTTTTTATTTTATACACCTTAAATATAACTTTTAAATAGCTATGATAGAGCTTATCAAAATTCTTAGAAATATTAAAAATATTCAAATTTTTAATTTTTATAGTTTAAATTCTACAATTTATTTTTTATGAATTTTATTTCAAAATTTTAATACAGAATTTATTGTTATTAGAATTCATATTTTAATTTATTTTACTGTTTCTATTAGTCAATATTATTTCGAAAATAATCATTAATATTATTTATGCTGTTAAAAAAATATATAAATTTCCCTAACTGTTTAACATATATGAACAGGTTGATGTTAAGGAAAATTTTTGTAAAGAAAAATTATTATTTAGAAAAAAATATTCGGTAGTCAGAAATAATATGTTTGGAAATATTATTTTTAAATCACTTTTTACCTTCACAATATTATTTTTATTTTTAAAATATAATTAGTGAGAAGGCTAGATTTTAATTTCATAATAAACGAATCTTAAAGTAAATATGTTTAGTTAATATTTACCTTTCTAATGAACAACATTGTGAAATTTAATTTGAATTTGATAAATATTATAGATACATTTAAAAAGAAAAGATAAAACAGTGTTTCCTGTTATTATTTATTTGAATATTTTATTAATATGTATCATTAATAAAATTAATTTTTTTAATGATTATGATTTCTAATTTAACACAAAGATATAAAATCATTTATTTTCAAAAATAAATTTTGATATAACCCAAAAGTAATCTTAAAATTATATTAATCGCATGCAGCTAGTAGATCAAGGCCATTTTTTGTGTCTATAATTAATAAAATATATTTTAAAATCAAATAGGAGCATACAAGTAATATATCTAGCTTGCATCGTAATAATTTACTTTACATTTCGCCAAAATGACTACACCTCTGCCAATTTTGTATTACGATTTATGAGAATAATTTCTTATTTGAACAATAAATAGTATTTTATTTGTAATATTATTTTAAAGTATATTAAATTTCATTTAAAAAATGGACATAATTTACTTATACTTTAATTAACACAAAAATTCTAATAATAATTATTAATAATATAATGCTAATAATTTAACAAATAATTGTATTATAAAAGTTTACTCATTAGAAATAACTAAATTTAATTTTTTAGTCAAATTTAATTACTTTAATTAATTACAAGTTCTAAGAATATTAAAAAAAAGTCTTGTATTATAAGTATATTATCATTGATCAACTTTATTTTTTATCGTAATATTATAACGAAAAATAAATTAAAATAATATCTAACAATAATTATAAAAATTAATATATATAGTGCATCTAATTGTATTTATATATTATTATGTAAACTTTTCAGGTACTTATATTAATATAAAAATTATTTTTTATAAATACACGATTGATTTTTAATTTTATCATATGTAAAGAAAAATTATTACCTCTTCATGAAAATTGATTATTGTTTTTTCAATAAGCTATCTTTTTGAATTAATAAAGTATCATGTATATTTTTATATATACGAGTCCTTAATTTTATAAATATTATAGTTATTTATAAATAGTATAGTTATAAAAAAATTGATGAAATATTACAAAAATATTAAAATTGAACATTTTTCTTTCCATAGTTTTTATCTTTGTGTTATTGAATTAAAATTTGCCTTTAATATTTATTAGTTTCAAAATGCCATAAAATATTGTATTAGTAATATTGATAATATATATATTCTAATATTAGCCCATAATAATACTTTCTATTTTGGCTATACGTAATGTTTTATATTGTTTATAAATTCGATTTTCTCCCTTGAATAATAGTTAAATTAATCTTACTATATACATAATATTATATATAATTAATAGCACTTGCTATATTAAAAACATACTGTAAAGTTTTTTATCTATACTTGAGTCTTACTACTTATAATCAATATAAACTTAGATTTTACTATTAATTCATTAAAATTTTGTATTTTTATCATACCTATAAAATTATAATGAAAATTTGGAAACTGATGAAAAAGGATTCAAATAAACATCAAATATTTACATTACTACCTGTTTTTCAACCATTTTATACACATTCGCATATTAACTCATTTTTTTTAATTTTATAAACAATATTATTTGTTATTTCGTTCTCATTATAAACTTAATGGGAATAAATATCCACTTTAATAACGTAAAATTAATCTAAAATAATACATAATTTCTAAATTTTTACAGCATGGATTTGTCCATAAAATAAGAATAATCTATATGCATCTTCTTAACCTTAAAAAAATATTATTATTGAATTAAAAATTTTCTTTTTCAATGAATATTTCAGTTGAATGAACTTCAGTAAGTACTCCGTTTAACTACCGTGTATTAAGTAGTATTTTTTATACGAAAATTAATTTCTTTCTCATTTTTAAATTGAATTTTTAATATAATTTTGTTCAATAAAATGTAATATATATACGCTTTTTATATTCGGATGATGTTATAGAATATTGTGTTACATACGGATCGACATTGATTTACTTATGCCTAAACTTTTGCTTAAATACGTCTTAATATCAGAAACCTTTTTTTTTAAATGTTTATATATTAAAAATGATTGTTTACTTAGTTCAATTTAAAAAGAATAATAAATAAATAAGAGCAAGCTCTTAAATTTATTTATTTATATTTCAAAAACATATATAGAATATACATTCGTATATTGAACATAACTCTAAATATAAAACTTAATATTAATTCTAAAGCATGTAATAAATACTAAAAAAATTTTAATCTTAAATTTTAATCTATAAATTTACATATACACATTTATTATCAAACTAAAGAGCATACTTCATTTTTTAATAGTTCAATATATATAAAATTAGAAATATAATAAAAATTTAGTTAGAATGCAACTTGCTTATTTATCCTTTATATTATTTATTACTTAAAATTGATTATTTTCTGAGTTTTAATATAAATAATGTATTTACAGAAAGGAAAAGTGTATATTATCAAAGTTCCATTCCGGACACCGATAATCTAAAAGGTCCTGATATAAAACGGATAGACAAACCAAAATTTGGTTCACGAGTTGAACAACTATCAGTAACGGAAGTATCCAAAGATATTATTGAATTAGATGAAGAAGGAATTCCAATAGACAGACCATTACAACCGGGAGATGAAACTTTACCTTGGAGAAAAGGTCGAGTATATCACAGACCACGTCCATTACACTCAGCTCCATGGAGAAAAATAAAACTACGTTCACGTGATACATCTCTTGATAAGCTATTAGAACGTGCAGAAATTGAAATAATTAAGCCATGGACAGAAGAAGAAGTAATATTAAAAAAAGCGCCTCATGTATATAAGGAGATTCCAAAAGAAAAATTAGAAGAAGTTGAATTACGACCAGCTAAAATCGAAAAGAGAGAGATTCAAAAAGAAATCCTAGAAAGCGTTGAATTAAAGCATATACCAAAAGAAATAACTAGACAAGAAGCTATATTAGATAAACTCTTAGCTCAAGAAGATATTACTGAATTATATACAGAAGAAGAAGATGGAATATTTCTTGATATCTCTATTAAAGTTGAAGAAGAAAAATCATGGAAAGATGAAAAAATTAAGCTCAGACCATCTAAACCAATAAAACAATCGAAAATAAAAGCAACATTACAAGACGTGTTATTAAAACCAACAAAACATGAAAAGCAAGATATTAAAAAACCGAAATTACAGAAAATAGAACTTCGACATATTATCAAAAATGAAGGAGAATCAGAATTATATGAGAAACATGATTATGAAACAGTAAATAAATATGATGATATTCAAGAAACTTTAAAAATTAAGCCATGGACAGAAGAAATTATTAATTTGAAAAAAACGGTAATAGATAAAGAAGAAACTGTTAAGGAAAAATTAGAAAAAGTAAACTTAAAAAAAACTATACCACAAAAATTTATAATTACCAAAGCAAAACTAGATACAATTGACTTAAAACCAATTGTAAAAATAAATGATTCAGTATCGACAGAAAACACTTTCAGTGAACAATATAGTGTTACAGAAGATACACAATTTTTAAATACAAAAAAAGAAACTGAAACATCTACTAAAATTAATAAACAATGTTATCCACACGAAAACGAACAGAGTATAAAACCCTGGGTTGAAGAATCTATCGCGTTAAAACCTGTTCAACGTGATTTAAAACCGGCATCTCAAGAAGAGAGAGAATCAATAACAGAAAAACATATCAGTTTGATCCCTAAAGAATCTCTAGGAACATCAAAAACTTCGCTTAAAACAGTAGAAACATCAAAAGACGTAATTCTTAAAGAAAAAGATATTAAAGAAAAGACTGTATTCAGAAAACAGACACAAAAAGTAAAATACGATAAAATATCATACCAGGAACTCGAAGATAAACAAATACTGAAAACGGAACACACTATTCAAGAAGAAAAAATAGAAATGGAAAGTGATGCAATTAAAGAAAAACCCACATTTTGGAGACATGGACAAAAAACAACATACTATGATATTCAAGATCAAGTCATGGGAGAATCACAAATTTTAAAAATGGAACAAAATATTATTGAACAAAAAACAATAAGAAGGCAATCTAAAGATGAGGAAAGTACGAAAATATGCCAGCAACAAAGGAAACAAACAAAAATAAAAATAGATACAATTGGAAAATCAACAGCAGAACTTTACATAGAAGATGAAAAATCGAGTCCTGAATTAAGTCCTGTGAAACTTCCAGAAAATTTAGTAGAGGAGCAATCGGTAGAAGAAACTCATTTACCTTGGCTAAGAGGTAAAAAGAAACCAAAAAAAGTTGAAGAAATTGAAACAAAACCTGAAGATATTCGGTCTGTTGTTCTGAAAACAACGAAACGCAGAATAAAACCCGAAGACAAAAAAGAAATAGAAGAAATTAAATTGAAACCCACTGAAAAAATGACTAAACCTACGAAATCAAAAGACGACATTCCTTTGAAACCTGTTAAACAAACAACATCAGATGAAATTAGTAAAGAAATAGGAAAGGATACAGAAGATGTAGAAATGCAAGATGATAAAGTTGTGGAAGAGGAAAAAATAGAAGAAACAACAATATCATGGAGAGTTGGAAAGAAAAAGCCTGAAAAACGAACAGTAAAGGAAAATATAGAGGATAAGAAAACATTGGATAGATTTGGAAAATCAACAGCGGAACTTTACATAGAAGATGAAAAATCGAGTCCTGCATTAAGTCCTGTGAAGCTTCCAGAAAATGAAGTAGAGGAGCAATCGGTAGAAGAAACTCATTTACCTTGGCTAAGAGGTAAAAAGAAACCAAAAAAAGTTGAAGAAATTGAAACAAAACCTGAAGATATTCGGTCTGTTGTTCTGAAAACAACGAAACGCAGAATAAAACCCGAAGACAAAAAAGAAATAGAAGAAATTAAATTGAAACCCACTGAAAAAATGACTAAACCTACGAAATCAAAAGACGACATTCCTTTGAAACCTGTTAAACAAACAACATCAGATGAAATTAGTAAAAAAATAGGAAAGGATACAGAAGATGTAGAAATGCAAGATGATAAAGTTGTGGAAGAGGAAAAAATAGAAGAAACAACAATATCATGGAGAGTTGGAAAGAAAAAGCCTGAAAAACGAACAGTAAAGGAAAATATAGAGGATAAGAAAACATTGGATAGATTTGGAAAATCAACAGCGGAACTTTACATAGAAGATGAAAAATCGAGTCCTGCATTAAGTCCTGTGAAGCTTCCAGAAAATGAAGTAGAGGAGCAATCGGTAGAAGAAACTCATTTACCTTGGCTAAGAGGTAAAAAGAAACCAAAAAAAGTTGAAGAAATTGAAACAAAACCTGAAGATATTCGGTCTGTTGTTCTGAAAACAACGAAAAGCAGAATAAAACCCGAAGACAAAAAAGAAATAGAAGAAATTAAATTGAAACCCACTGAAAAAATGACTAAACCTACGAAATCAAAAGACGACATTCCTTTGAAACCTGTTAAACAAACAACATCAGATGAAATTAGTAAAAAAATAGGAAAGGATACAGAAGATGTAGAAATGCAAGATGATAAAGTTGTGGAAGAGGAAAAAATAGAAGAAACAACAATATCATGGAGAGTTGGAAAGAAAAAGCCTGAAAAACGAACAGTAAAGGAAAATATAGAGGATAAGAAAACATTGGATAGATTTGGAAAATCAACAGCGGAACTTTACATAGAAGATGAAAAATCGAGTCCTGCATTAAGTCCTGTGAAGCTTCCAGAAAATGAAGTAGAGGAGCAATCGGTAGAAGAAACTCATTTACCTTGGCTAAGAGGTAAAAAGAAACCAAAAAAAGTTGAAGAAATTGAAACAAAACCTGAAGATATTCGGTCTGTTGTTCTGAAAACAACGAAAAGCAGAATAAAACCCGAAGACAAAAAAGAAATAGAAGAAATTAAATTGAAACCCACTGAAAAAATGACTAAACCTACGAAATCAAAAGACGACATTCCTTTGAAACCTGTTAAACAAACAACATCAGATGAAATTAGTAAAAAAATAGGAAAGGATACAGAAGATGTAGAAATGCAAGATGATAAAGTTGTGGAAGAGGAAAAAATAGAAGAAACAACAATATCATGGAGAGTTGGAAAGAAAAAGCCTGAAAAACGAACAGTAAAGGAAAATATAGAGGATAAGAAAACATTGGATAGATTTGGAAAATCAACAGCGGAACTTTACATAGAAGATGAAAAATCGAGTCCTGCATTAAGTCCTGTGAAGCTTCCAGAAAATGAAGTAGAGGAGCAATCGGTAGAAGAAACTCATTTACCTTGGCTAAGAGGTAAAAAAAAGTCTAAAAAAATAGTCGAATTTCAAGAAACCGTTCAAGTTCATTCATTAGATCAAACAAAATTGCTTGATGTAGTTGATTCAAAGATCGATAGAAATGTTAATATCGTAGAAATGAAACAAGAAATAAAGCAAAAAGAACAAACTGAATTAAATATTTCGAAAAACATTACTTCCGCTCCTCAATTTATTCAAAAACTTCAACCATTGATTTGTGAATCTAACAAACCAGCTAAATTTTCATGCAAGGTTATTGGAAATCCAATTCCTAAAATTGCCTGGTATAAAAATGAAAAAGAATTGCATGCTAATGAAAAATATCTAATAAGTGAAGTCGAGACTACTGCAGTTTTAGAAATAAAAGATATTATTAAAGAAGATGTCGGTAGATATACATGTACAGCTTCAAATCTTGTAGGAGTTGCAACTTCAACTGTTAATCTTATTATACTTGGTAATATATTTTTTTGAGAAAAATTGTAAATTTATATGCTCGTGGCTTTTCTTATACTTCAATTTATAATTAAAAATAGTAATTTAATGTATTTAAATTCCTTTCTTTGACAATAGTTGTAATTAAAAAACTTACTAAACATGTTATAATACATTAATATAATATTAATATTATATTTTTGATATAAATACACTAATCAGAATTATTTAATCTTACTACTAAAATATTTTATTCGATCCTTTTAATTAATTTAAATAATTATAAATTTAACTAATTTCTGAACGTTAATTTACTTTTACGACAAATAAATTTATAGACGTTAAAATAGTGATATTTTTCAGATAAAGAAGAAGAAGGTATTGCTGCACATTTCTCAAATCCTATAAAACCTGTAGTAGTTGAAGAAAATAAGCCAGCAATATTCCAATGTACAGTTAAAGGAAATCCTACTCCCGAATTGAAATGGTATCGCGATGAAACTGAAATTAAACCAAAGAGAGGTATAACTGAAATTAGTTTTATACCAGAAACGGGAGAAAGTAAATTAATTATTTGTAAGCCGACGTTCGATGATGAAGCAATTTATCGAGTACGAGCATTGAATAAATTTGGTCGCGCAGAATGTAGGACAAATCTTCTTATTAATAATGCAGCTATTGTAATGAAGCCAGAAATACTTCATGCGCCAAAGATAATCGAACCTTTACCTGCAGTAGTGGCACAATGTGGTAAATCATTAACACTTACAGTAAAATTCGAGAGTGATTCTAAACCTGAAATTAAGTGGTTTAAAAATAATGTTGAAATCACTTCATCTTCGAATAAAGTTATAAGGACATTTGAAAATGTTGCAGAGCTTTATATTAGTGAAGTTGAAAAGAAAGATACAGGAAAATATGAAATTCGTGTTCAAAATAGTATCGGAGAAGCTCGAAGTTCTGGATCAGTATCAATAAAAGATAAAGGAGATAAAATAGATGAAGCAAAGGCACCGAAATTTATCCAACCCATTCAGCCACATATTACTACTCTTGGAGAAGTAGTTATTATGGAAACAACAGTTGAATCTTATCCGACGGCATCATTCCAATGGTTTCACGAATGCCAACCTCTTAAAGTATATTTATAATATTATGATAAGAGAAAGCAAATTATAAATCTTTAATAATATTTAATTATTAAAATTATGATTGTATAATTTTAGAATACATATTTCTTTTAATTATTTCAATAATAATATTTAGATTTATATTCATCATATTTTTAATAATTTTATTTTATTTTACATATTTTTACCGTTTGCACATTCTTCAAATAATAAATAATTACTTTTTAGACGTCGCATGAAATACGCATTGTATCGAAAGAAAATAGATCTGTACTTATGATTAAGGAAATAAAACCAGAAAGTATTGGAACATATACATGTCGAGCTGAAAACGTAATAGGATCGGTCACGAGTACCGCTACAATAAGTTTTCAAGAAATACAATGGGAAAAAACTGTCGAACTTATATCACCTACTTTTATAAAAAAACTTTCTCCAATTTGTGTGATGGATGGCGAAAGTGTAAATTTGACTTGTGTCATTCAAGGCAAACCTATTCCAAAAGTTGAATGGTTTCACGATAAGAAACCAATAAAAGAAGGAAAACAGATAACAATTTTGCAAGATTCAGAAGGCGTATGTAACTTGGCAATTAGTGAAGTTTTTCCGGAAGATGCCGGAGAATATACTTGTCACGCTATAAATACAATAGGTGAAGCTGTCTGTAGCGCGTCGTTGATTGTCGAAGGTATTCTTTATAAATTATATTATCGTTTCAGCAAATAATTGAAAACAGACTCGTCTATTAAACACTCAATAATTGAATAAACATATTTATCTTAGTGTATATAATGTATGTAAGATACAAATAATACAATATTAAATTAAATATTTAATTAACATTATTTTAATATAGCATACGAATATATACCTGACTCGGAAATAGCATCATCAGCCGTAGCGACATCTCTTACAACTGGTCAAAGTGAATCCGAAGAAGACTTTTCATCTCCAAAAGTAATGAATTTGTTCAATTTATCCTTCTAATTGAATATTTGACAACGAAATAAATTTTATTCAAAATGTTATAAAAAAAAATTTCAACATATTGTAATAGTCTTAGTTCACAGATTTAATACATTTTTCTGGTGTAAATTTAATAATTACAAAATTTTTCCCTAATTTAGGACTGAAATAACGATTATTAAGTTAAAAAATACTTAATTTTTCTAAATTTTTCTATTCTTTTACCAAGAATTTCTTTTATTTAATTCGACTGTTTTATTAGGACATTAATAACATTATTTTGTCTCATACATTTATTATCTTTCATTCATCTTTTTTTTCCATTGATTCTTTCATTCCGTTACTTTGTTTTTTTTAAAGTCGTTAAATTTTTTTTTATTATTTAAATTTTTTATAATCATTTTTATGTTTTCTTAATTAATATTAAAAACTCTTCAAAATTATGCAATTAAAATAATTATACATTCTGTTAGGAAATATCATCGCAACCACTCGACAGAACAGAAAGTGCTCCAAAAATAATAAAGAAACTCCCGCAAATTACGTCTACAAAAACTGGTGAATTAACTAGGTATATATTATTTTCTTATTATAATAAATATTCAAATAACAAATTTGACAATTTTTTCCATGAAATTATTATTTTAAGAAATTTTTTTATCTCAATTCGATTAAAACCTATAATAAAAAATTCATTTTACTTTAATACCATAAATTAATTAAGTAATTATTTACAAATAATTTAATCAAATTAATGCTAATATATAACTTCATGCTTTTCATTGTTTATAAAATTTACATAGTTATAAATTGCATCAAAATTAATTTACTTTTATAGTATATTAAACAGTCTTTACATAAATAATTATCAATAATACATTTTCAAGATTGGAGGTAAAAGTTAAAGGAAAACCTAAACCAAAAATTAAATGGTATAAACAAGAATTAGAGATTCATTCGTCTACGGAATTTGAAATTGAAGAATTTAAAGATGGAACATCTATTCTCACTATTACTGAAACATATCCCGATGATTCTGGCGAGATTGTATTTGAGGCTCATAATTCGTTAGGAGTAGCAACTACAACTACTTATTTATCTGTAGGAGGTGATAAAATAAAATTTTTTAATATGCCAAAAAATAACTACTGAAAATTTTCAAATAATTAATTAATGATTAAAATTATTTTCAGCAATTTCTAGAAACACTATCGCCAACTTATTTACCTCACTTACTTACCTTGTAATGTCCTTACATGTCCTTTTAATGAAACATTTAATACACAATTAAATTGATTTTAATTAAAAGCTTTTTAACCAAAATTGAATTTTAAAATATACTTTAATTTAATGAATCTTTATAAACAAATTATGTTATCTATTATGTAGGTATTGTGGGAACAAAAGAATATCGGAAACCGGAATGGGTTACACAAATGGAAGAAATGCAGGAAGCTCTTCGAGGTAAGGATATTAAATACTTACATATATGCGTTATATAACAGCTTTTTTTAAATGAATTTCGACAATGGTTCAACATACCATAATAAAAAATTACCAGTATTCAAAGCATTACTATTTTTGTAAGCAACCAATCTGTAATGGAAGCATTAACTAAGCTAAAATAATTTTTAAATAATTGATTTTATTCGACGAAAATTACATAACAAATTGAAAAGTTATAAAAATGTATCGATATGTAGTATACACAAAATAATAACTATAAACAAAATAATAAATAAATCATCCATTAAAACTTATTACTTATAAAAATTATAATTGAGTTTATCTCTTAATGAATAGAAAAGAAATGGAAAAATTAATTAACTTTCTAGAATTAATTAATTTAAATAGTGAAATTTAATGAATCGATATGACTGAAAATAATTAGGAAAACTTTAATATATATTCATTAGTGAGAAAACAAAACCCATGTAAAACTTAAATATTTTAAGCAATAAACACTTTTTTATAAAAAAGTATAACTTACTATAAATCCTTCGTTTTAAATAAATGAAAAATGATATAATACAATATTTACAATACACTAAAATGGTATATTTCAAAATTTATTTAAAAATATATTTAAGTTCAAATAGATAAAATTGTAAAGTACCTATATAAAGTAAATTATTCTCATCTTACAGTGATAGTAAAGTTATAAATATTTAAAAATTACAAATTAATAAATCTATTTAAAAAGTTTAGATGATTTATTTCTAAAATTTATAATTCAACACAAAATATATGGGTACTCAGAATCACATTACTCTAAATTAAAATTTGCATAAATTTTATACTAATTATTGATAAATGAAAGCTACAATTTATCAAAAACTCTATCTCTTAGTGTTAAAAGAAATTAAAATTAAACAATTTCAACAAATTCATTTTAATCTCAGTGCTATAGTAAGTTTAATTTAGCTTGATTAAATTCTAAAGTTAATATATCAGATCGCGAGAAATGAACTAGAATATCATGTATGCTTGTTTTTACTGGTAATTCAATTATTTATAAATTTATTTTCTATATATTTAATTAATTTATTAATTATTTAAAAAAATTTACTTTTTAGATGGCATATTTGTTTGTAATGCTAATATTGAATATACATTATTTTAATAAATATTTTTAATTGTTAATAAATAATATTATCTTATCTTATATAAATGAACTATTCAATTTTAAATAGTGTCATATATTTATCGCTAAATTAGTGAAAATTGATTCAATTTCATTAGCGAATAAATTATATTTACAAATGCAACTAAAAAATAAATAAATGTTATAAAGTAGGTAATACAAAAAGATTAATAAATTTATTTTTATTTTATAGCAACTCAGTCAATACCTCGCTTCATTCAAGAATTTACAGATACTTATGCTCAAGAAGGAGAATCTGTTGTATTTGAATGCATATATTCTGGTAACCCAGTACCAGGTATAATATTAAGATAAATATACTTTTTTAATTTAAGTATAATATTAATTAAAAAATTTTAAGCATAAAATAATATTTTCCTATAAAGTAATTGTAAAATATTCAACTAATAATTTATTTTTAGATATTATATGGTTTAAAAATGATAAAATAGTATTAAATACAGATAATATTAAAATAAAAATTTCTGACAACGAAAAGAAAACAACATTAACAATTAAAGAAGTAACTCATGATGATGATGCAATATATGTTTGTAAAGCAACGAGTGATATTGGATTAGCTACAACTAAAGCTAAATTACATGTAACAGGTAATTTATTCTTACTGATAAGTTCAAATGATTTGAAATTAAATTTTCTTAATAATAAGTTAAATATTATAATATTGTAAATAGATACACTGGAAATATCTACATCGAAAAGTGAAACTAGAACTGAAAAACAAATTTCAGATATAATACAGAAACCACATAGAAAGAAGAAACCAGAATTGAAAAAATCAAAAGAAATTAAGGAAAAAATAAAATCAGAACGAGTTAAAATTGACAAGAAAATTGTTACTGAAGAAAAAGCTGTATCATCGGAACAACCAGAAGAAAAGTATTAACAATTATAAAGATTAAATTTTTTTTTAACTATATATAAAATATTTAAACATTAGCCCAATTCCAGATATTATTAATTTTAATTATTAATATTTACATAATTATCTAGATGAAAAATATAAGATAAGACCTTTTCAATGTATTCAAACCAAATAAATTTAATAATTTATTTTTAGGAAAATCATAGACAGCCGAGAAACTCAAATACTAGATAACATTGATTCATTTGATGAAAAACCTCGAAAGGTAAATTAATATCTGAATATTTATTAAAAGTATATTAAAATTCATATATATTTTATAATAATACAATAGTATATATTTATATATTTATATATATTTATATATATATATATTTATATATATATATATATATATATATATATATATATATATATATATATGTGTGTATATATATTATTTATAATAAAACAAGGATTTGCCAATTTAACATATATATTTAAGATTATCAATTAATACTATTTATTTAATTAATAGTATATGTATAGAAAAATTCAAAATGATATATTAATTTTATAAATTTTGTATTATTCATGTCTTGCATATTTTTGTTCAAGTTATCACAAGCAATGAAGATTATACCAATACAAGAATCACTACTTATAGAAGTAACGCCAAGTATGAAAAAAATGGATGAAAAGCAACGCGATACATTCTCAAAACAAGATGAAATTGCAGAAAAAGTAATTGATGAACAACAAGGTATTATTATATCAGAAATTATATCTGAAGACACAACATCAGACTTTGTAGTTGAAACAAATCAAGCACAAGTTATACCTGAAACTTTTGAAACAATTGCAGTATCTGAAATTTACACAGAAAGTAATATTCGTGAAATAAAGAAAAAAAAGAAAAAACCTGAAAAAAGTAAAATAACTATTAAGAATGAGATAAGCGAAGCAACAGCTGAAAAAATTATGGAAACCCAAAAGCAAAATATTGCGCAACAAGTAGAAGAAATTATGGAAGTATTAAATGCTCCAGAGTTCGGACCTGGGGAACAACCTCTTCGAGAATTAGCTACAATTGGATATTTGATTCAACAAGGTGTTACCGTTAATGAAATAAATGAAATATTATACAGAACCGATAAGTTTCCGACGCTTAAAACTCCTGATGCGCAAAATGCTTTGGTTCAGCTTGTCGAGAGGAAAGGTTATGGGCCAATAATAAGTCAGGTTCTTACAGAAGAAACTACAACGGACGAAAGCATTGTCGCTGCAACTATTGGCTTTAGAGCACTTATGAAAATGGTAGAATTACAACATGCAACTGTTGAAGAAGTAATTACAAATTTTACACCTGAAGATTTTCGACCCCGAGCATGGGAAGTTACAGAAGTAACCGAGGTGAGACGTTCGGAAAATAAATAATTTTCATTTTAAAATTGCAAAATTTTAATTGTAAATTCTTATAATAATAATAAGTAAAATATCAATATTTAAAATAAGCAATTAAAATAAATTAAATTTTTTGACAATTAGCAAATTGAGAGTGAACAAACTGCAACAGAAAGAGTTGAAATTATTGAACAAACCGAAGTCCATCTAATGGGTAAGTTATTAAAGTGTGGTTTGAGTTTATATGCAAAGTTAAATAATCCACCAGTTCCAAAAATAATTCTAGTACATGTACGTTCGCATTTTGCTTTATATATTATGATTTCGTTCAATTTTATATTATAAGTTTTAGTAAACTCATTAAAATGAAATATAGCATTTTCAGAAATTATTTAAGTGTATTAATTATTGCAATTGTATTTAATTAGCTTTCTTATTTTTTAGAACATTATTTAATTAATTTATCTTAATTTAATAAGTTTTTATAGCTTGCTTCGCATTGAATAGTGTTATTAGTGCTTTTATTATATTACAAATTAATATTCTATTATGTTAAATATTAATGTATTATTAATAAATTAATTTACGTTTATAAAATACTATTAACTCCTACAAGATGACGAACTGAAACGATAAAATATAATTTTGTAATTTTAATAATTAAGAAATTAATACGCGTTGATTTATCAATAAACTACCGTCCATATGTCAGTTATACTTTCCTCTACTAATAGTAAGTTACAACGTATTCATTTTATTACAAAATCATATCAAAATAATTGTGCTGATATTGTGAATATAATTGTGAAATTAGTTTAAAAATAATCTTGCATGGTATTGTATATAATAAGTATTTTTACATATAAGTTCACATTGTTTTTCTATAATAAACATAGTCCATAAGATTTTGTAACACATTTTGTAAATGATTGTGAAATAAAAATAAACTAACTTTAATCAAGCATTTTCATTATTTTATCATTAATTTCTAAATATATCTATAAACTAAAATTGCATTTTCAGAAAGGAAAGATGATAAAACAATTGTGCAATCGCAGGATGTTCAAGAAAATAAAGGTTTGATTTGAAATTTTCATAGCATGGTTTTAAGAATCTAAATTTAATTAATACAACAATTTTAAATATATTAAACTAATTCTAGATCTTTATTAAATTTTATAATAAAAAATTATTAACTTCTGTTTTGCATAAAACGTATTTATTATCAATGTATATTATAATTTATTGAATTATTTATAATACGTAGTTTATTTTTCATATTCCACATTTATTATAAATTAGTAGATAAAGATTTACTGACGAAATTTCAAAATAAATTAATTAGATACATACTAAATAAGATTTAAAGAACTTTAAGTTTTAATATTTTATTTCTAAATAGATTTTATTTTCTAATTACTTATTAATAAATTATTTTTAAAAATTTATAAATAATTAATCAAATGTATATATTAAATTCTCCATACATTCTTGTCATCACTCGTTTAATTCATTCAAAATTATATCTTTTTAAATTATTTAAAAATCAATGTAGTTATTTTTTTATATAAATACCCAAACTAAAAAATATTGAATATAAAATGATGAAATATAATATAATATATTATTATACAGCAGTTGATCAGCACGTATTTTTTATATTAGAGTTTATATAAGGAATTATTTATATAAGTTTATTTATATAAGGAATTTTTATATATTTATATATTTATATATTTATATAAGGAAGTCTTAAAAAAATTTAAAGATTTATTGAAATAATGAGAAAATTAAAGGTTAGTTTGAAAACTACCATCTAACTTTTCAAAATACTAACTGTACAATGCAATATATACTATACAAATTGATGAATGTATAAATATATTTTTATATTTATATATATATATATATATATATGCGTGTGCGTGTGCGTGTGTGTGTGTGTGTGTGTGAGTGAGTGTGTAAAACTTTAATAGTGTACAGGGCTAATTTTAATAAAATTATGCGATATTTAAAGAATTTATAATATCCACCAATGAATTTTCTTTAGAAACAAATTTAAAATTTTAATTTTAAATAAAATACTAAAATACTAAAATGTTAAAATCAATAAAAATTAATATACATTTATAATTAGCTCATTAATAATAATGATTTGTTTATTGACGAAAGACTGATTTGTATATATAAGTAATAAATATTTTATTTTGCATTTTATTAAAAATTATACTAAATAGTATGATAATATTGTTTCGGAATATATTTGACAATTTCAAATTCAGTAGATTTTTCAAATTATTATAATTGATTAGTAAACGCGTTCCGGGAAAATTAATATTATAATTATTAAATTATTTAATAGTAAATGAACGTAAATAAATACCTGTGATAAATGTAGCTAAATTAATATAATTATAATTACTAATTATGTATTTGTCCAATTATCTTACTTTTTAATTAAACAATAAAAAAATGAAGAATTTAAAAAACAAATGTTTATGAAAATATTTTCAATTTACTGAATCTTACATACATATTAAAATTACTAATTTATACTACTTTAAAATTTATCATCCTTTTATTTTCTATTTTATAAATGTCTTTTGATTGTTTCTTAATTGAATTGCTATAACAGAATTTATAGATATTTATTTCTTTTTAATATTTAAGTTTATGTTTTTTCAAAGTATACAATCATTTTTGTATGGAATTAAAATAGTTATTAAATTTATTATTATTTGAATATTTATTACAAATTATAATAAACATTTATTTATATAATAATATACAAATCTATAACTTCGATTTCACATTTCTTTACATTTCCATTATGAATTCTCTAATCGTTCTATTTTTATTTTATATAAACCTTAAGAATGTATTTAATGAATTAAATCATGATTTCTTGAATTGCGTTATAAAATTTTAGTTGCGTAAATTTATTTTTATATTCTTTCAGATGCATGACGCTTTCTTGAGCAAAATAGAGCAGTGACTTTCCGCTTACGCCGCTATGCTTTCCATGCGCATTATAATTTATTTTAAATTTAAATAATTTTCCAAATAATCTTTTTATAAAACAAAAATAATAATACAATTCTTAATAAATTCATCCTTTCTTTTCTAATCCTCTATCAAGAAACTTTCCAAAACTTCACTTCTAATTTTATTTAATGAGTAAGTATAAAAAAAAATGATAAAACTGATAAAATCAACATTTTAAGAAGACGAATTATGCTAATCCTTATAATAATTTCAATTTCTGTCAAAGTAAATTTATTTATAAATGATATGTATTCCGATTTTATTAAAAGAACGAATAATAATAATTGTGTAATATTAGAATTAATAATTTAACATAAGATGCTTAATTATACATTTCATTATAGTTACATTAAAATTAATTCAACTTTTTATAAATCTTATAGACTCTTTTTAAAATCCATATTTTAATATCTATTTTCTGCATTATATGAAATAAATAAATAAATAAATATATATGCAATGTTATGTAAAAAAATAGAGAATCAGTTTAAAAATAAAAATATTTTAATATAATATTATATATTCGCAATTTCGAATAAAAACAATTAGCACATAGGATTCAAGATGTTTTTATTAATTTCATTGTAAAAATAGTATGTATTATTTTAATTATATATTAAGTTTAAATTATATATTCAGTTTAAAACATAAATTTTATATAAAATAATACTATTATACACATAAAATATTTAAGAATCCTACATAAAATAACACATGTTTTGTACATAAAATATTGAACATAGTATACAAGTTTTATACATACTAAACATTTAAAATATACGTTTAAAATACAATGAAAAGGTATTTCAAAGTTTCAATTAAAAATAACGAATGTTTTTGAAAATTAACCATGCATAATTAATGACTTACAACACAATGAGAAAATTATTATATGATTTATAATATAAATGTAATAAAAATGTAATAAAAATATAAAAGAGCTTTATTATCAAATGGGAAATTATTAATTAATGATATGAAAGAAGATTATAATTAATAAAAATAATAAATTAATTTTTTAGTAATTTAAAATGATTAAACACAAAAGTAATTATTTATACACATAATCTAATACACCTAACATTCTCACATACTTTTCACAGAATACGAGGACACTCGGCAAGCACACATCACATTGCGCAAACGAAAAGATTCTATAATAGAAGAACAAACTCAAGTCGATGATACACTTCAAAATAGGGAAGAGGGGGTTGAGATTACAATAGTTGAAGATTTAACAACTATAAAAATAAAAAAAGATAAAAAGAATACCCCAAAAGAGCAAATAGAAGATGAAACGGTAGAAACAGACGACTATAAACAAACATTGGAGACAAAAAGACTATTAAAAACACAGAGATCTAAAGTGAGACACGAAGATTTACCTTTCGAAGAAATTGAGGATTTAGAAATTACACAAGATTTGAAAGTATCTTCTCTATTAATAAATATAGCAAGTCAGCAAAATGAAGCTACTTCAACCAATAGTGCAGTTGACCAAGCACCAATTAAACCTATCAATGAAAAAGCAAAGATTAATTTAGATTCTTCTATCGCCTTAACTGAAGAATATTATGAAATTCAAGAAAAAGAAATCGATCGAGTCGTTACACAAAAACCAGAAAGTAGAAAGGCTTCACTTACAATTACAGCTACCCAATCATATTCAACTTCAGAAATAATAACGCAAAATGAAACGGAACTATTTTCTGATATTTTTGAACCTCATCCAGTGAAAGCAGCTTCAACAATTCTATCAACTGAAGGAATAATAGTAAATGAAGTTCATACTACTGAAGCAAAACCAATAAATATAGATCACAAAAATGATGATGTAATTAATGAAATAGAAATGACTTTATCATTGCAAGAAGCAAAAATAATAAGTGAGACAATTACTAACGAACAAGAGGTATCGACAGAAAATTATAATATACCAAATACGGTACAAGCAGAAAAATCAGTGATTCCTCAACAAAGCATTACAATTTTGGAAATTCAAGAAGATTATAAAGAAGGAAGTTTTGAAAAGATGAAAATTATAAAAAGCAATCCTAAAATCCTACTTAATAAAATTGAATCAATTCAAATAGAAGAAGTTTATTCAGAAGATAAACCAAGTAAATATTATCCAGAGTTGATTGTTCCCACAGAAGCAGCATTAACTTCAATAGTCGAACAAAAACAACGATTTACAGAAGAAAGGCTTGTATCAGAAAAAGAAGGAGAATATGTACCTCACAAATTACCAATATCACAAATTGCTGATATAGAATTTTCATCTGCTAAAGAAGCCGTTATAATTTATGAACAATCTATACAAGAATCTGAAAATATTTATTATCCTGATGCTAAAGTTAGTACTTATGAAGCAACACCAAATGTAAATCTATTCGAAAGTATTAATGTTTTGAGTGTTAATCCACAACAAGAGGAATCCAAATTAACATTTGAAGATATAAAACTATGCGAGAAAATAGCTCTTGTTGAGTTAACAGAAGCTAGACCCGGGGCGACAACATTAGAAATAATAACAAATGATAAAGAACAACTTAACAATATTGAAGAAATCAAACCTCAGGATGCAGTAATCAAATTAAATGTTTCAGCCCATCCAATTGCTATTCAGTCAGAAATACTTGCAGTAGAAAATATAAAAGATGTACATAGTGATAAAGTAGTTACCGGTATAGCGTTACCACGTCGAGAAATACATGGGGAACTAGTAGTTACAGAAGTAAATATAGCTGAAACGGAAAAACTGCAAGAAGAATATATATATCCTAAAACACAATATGCTCATATGGGGTATATAACTTCAGAAAATTTAACCATTAATGAGCTTAATACAGTGCTTTCTAAGGTATGTACTATAAAAGTATTGGTTAAAATATCCAAACACCTAGTACTTTTTAAAATAATTAATATTTACGAAATTAATTAATAATTGAATTATGAAATTTATTTATTTGTGAATTATTAATTAAATACATATTCGATATCGTATAATATAATATTAAAGTTTTTATAAAAATGTAAATATTTTGTTTGAACTATATAAAAATTTGAAATCCTTAATATTAATTATAATATAAAATGTTCATAAGGAATAATATATTAAATTTTTTAGATTGAAAATTTAAATATAACTTAAATTTTTAAAATACACAGAATTTGCTACTTAAAAACTACTATGAAACTTACGAAATATTTAATGAATTAGTAATTTATACATAAGAAACAGTGAAGTAGCTTTATTTAATTTTATATAACCTTTACTATATATATAAAATAATAATCTGTTGAACAAGTATATACAATATATTTCTATTTCAGGAGGAAGATTATAAAACAAAGAACTTACCAACCAAACAAAAAGTCGTCCCTGATATTATAAAAGGACATAAAGTACCAGAAATGGAGGAAACATTTATTTCAAATAGTACAGACATACTAAAAGCAGAAGCAATAAATCCTGAAATAGCTAATCTAAAACAAAGTAGTCTAGAAATTGCGCAAACAACCGAAATAATCCATTCGGAGTTAGAAGCACCATTGCCTTTAAATGTTGAATCTGAACAGAAAACAAGCGGTATATCTTTTGTAGAAGAAACAAGTGTTGAAATTATAATAACAAATATAGAAGATAAAGAAGGGTCTTTACCTGAAAAAAATAAACCTCTCGCTTTTGAAGCCACAATTAATTACAATGCACAAAAAGCTGCTTCAACTTTAGAAATCATTAGTAACAATAGCTTAGGAGATCTATCAAAAGACATTACTATCGATATACATCCAAAAACTTCATTACTACCCTATCAACCAACTCAAATTGAAGAAATACAAGTTCAAGAAAGTGAAATACCATTTCCTGATATTGTTCTGCCAAATAGAACAGCTGATGTTTCATTCAGCATTGACGAATCACTCACAATTACTACAATCACTGCATCCGAAAAAGAAAGTGATATAGAAACTCCTGAAATAATAGCAAAAAAAAATGCTTCTACAAATTTTACAGCTCATCCAGTTGCGCAAGCAAATGAAATTATTCCAAACAATAATATTGACTATCTCAAATCAAAAGAAATTCCTATAACATCTGCTAAAATGGATCATGTATTACTTAATAGTATAATTACATCAGAAGTGTCTCCAGCTAATACTGAATTATCATTTCTAAATATTATTTCTTGTGATAAACAACAATCGACTGTCGTTTTTGAAGAGGAGAAAAGCCTACAAATTTTAGAAACAAATGTGTCAGAAAAAGAACAAAAATTTGTGAAAGAACAAGACATAAATTTACAAACAGCTGAATTTAGTTTCGATAGTCATAAAATAGCAGAATCAATAGAAATAACGCCAGAAATTATACCAGAACATTTCATTAATGAGCTCCCAGGTTCGGTATTCGCAAAAGAACAACACACTTTATTTGAAACTGTTATTCAGGAAGAAACCATTCCATCATGTAAAGAGAAACTATTTACCGATAAGCCTATAATCTCAAACAAAGCTAATATAGAAATAGAAGAAAGTATTGGAATATCATCCATTACTGAAATTATTCCTCACAATAAAGAGGAAAATTTAAAAGATTCTGAGAGACCAAATACAACATTAGTTCAAGTTAGTTTCAATGGTCATAGAGTTGCTGAAAATATAGAATTGAATACATATATATCATCAGAAATAATAGAACCTCAAAAGCCATCTTTAGCTTCTGCATTTAAAAGAACAATTCCTTTAGAAGGTTTAATAACCGAAGAAATTCAAATTAATGAAACTGAAGAATTACTAAAGGACAATAAAACCCCAATAAAAGATACTGCAAATACTGAAATTATTGCACAAAAAGGCTTAATTGTATCATCAATTACATTGGAAGATCAAGAGTATCCACTTAATGTAAAACCAATACCAGATTTAAAAGTAGCTAACAAACTATTGACTAGTGAATATTTACTTCCAGAAACTACAGAGCATATAGTGAATCAAAGTTCGTGTAAATTTAAAAATGAAGAAAGAACAGTTACCCAAAATGCCTCGAGTGATGTTGGAAATGTTCTAATTTCACTACAAACATCAATAATCGAATCACAAATAGATGTTTCTGAAACACAAACAACTAAATTGGAGATTGCAAGAAATGCAGAAATTAAACAAGATATTCAGGAAGGTTTGATTATAACAGAAAACGTACCTGCAGAAATGGAACAAATACTAGATAAAGTCGAAAAATCTATTACACATCAAGCAAATATAGATATAAAAAATGTTCAATCTCTTGAAATTTCAGAAATTACAGCACAAGACAAGGAAGAAACATTCTTCCCTAAAAAATCAGACGAATATAGTGGAGTTACCAATTTTATTGAACATATTCCTCTATCAGTATCTGAAGTACTATCAAATGAAATTGAAGTAACTTTACCTAACATAGAAAAACCAATGCAACAAACAGCTACGGATAAATTATTATTAACTAGTAAAGAAATAGCGGAAACTACTGAAATATTAACATCTATACAAACCGATATTTTCGAAAGTGATAAATTCCCTCCCAAACAATCTATTCAAGCTACGTCTAGCAAATTATCAGCTATACTTGTATCTGAAATAGTAGCTGATGAAATTCAAAGAAACCTGAAATGCGAAGATTACCCCGATAAAAAAATAGCAGTATTAAATTTAACAAGTCAAGAAATGTTACAAACAACAGAAGTCACGGCAATGTCTTCACTAGATACATTAAAGATGGACAAAATACCACTTGAAGAAACAAGTACTGAAAATATTGAGGAAACATTTTCTCTTGAAATTTCTCAGGCAATATCGAATGAAAAAGAATCTGATTTTATAAATTCAGCAATTCCTATCCAACAAACAGCTCGGTCAACATTATTGGGAAGAGAAGTCGCAGAGATTTCTGAAATAATGCCAGTAATGACTGTAGAGAAAGTATTAAAAGTAGATATATTGCCAGAAGCTATAGGAAAAGTGAAATTAGATACTTTACAACCTTTAGAAATATCTGAGATTATGTCTAATGAATTAGAACAACCGTTATCCAGTAGTATTACTCCTGATACTAAAGCAGCACAAGTTAATATCTCAGGAAGAGAAATAGCCGAAACAACTGAAATATCTCCAAATATTACTACTGATAAATTGTTAAATTTTGAAATTCCAAGCCATTATATTCAAAAGATATCTATTGATACTCTAAACGCAGCTATAACAACACAAACAAATTCTAATGATTTAGAAGAAAGTATATCAACTATAACTTCATCTGACATTACCGCAATAGAAACAAGTTTCATTATTAGTAATTCAATTCAAACTCTTGAAATTACAACTGGTAATAGTTTAGAGGAATTGCATCAAAATATAATTCCAGAAGAAAAGAAAGGAATACAAGGATTGAATACAATGCTACCCTTAACAGTTTCCCAAGTTATTTCAAATGAGTCAGAAAATATATTAAATGCATCGGAAATTCCAAAATCTAAAATGGCTAATCCAAATTTAGAGGGAAGAGAAATAGTTGAAAGTTTCGAAACTGTAACTTTGAATAGTACAACAGATTTTGAAAAGCCAGTATTGCCTGACAGAATCAAAGGTAAAGAATATATCGAAAGTTTATCCCTCGCTGTAAATATGGAATCCATTTGCAATGAAAGTGAAATGAATATATCTGCTACAGAACAACCCAGTGAGAAAAATGCAACCAGTGAAATATATGGCCATGAGGTCGTTGAAATATTTGAAACAATTCCTTTACATAATTTCAATCAAATTCAGCCAAAATTAGCTGAAGAGCAAACAAGTGTGCCACAAATAGATACATTAAATACAGCACTTATTTCTGAAACAATTTATAATGAATTAGAAGACGACTTAAAAGAAACGAGAATACCAAAATCTTCAATCGCACATTCACAATTATTAGGAATTGAAACCACTGAAATAACTGAAGTTGTAACAGCGTCTGGTGTAGACAAATTAAAAGAATATAATACACCAATTTCACAAGAAGCCTTATTAGATCTCGGGGAAATTACGCCAATATGTATAAGTGAAGTCGTTCCTAATGAACTAGAATCTGTAATATCAATCGATAAAATAGCTACAGCTTCGGCTACTGAAATATTAAAAAGACAAGAAGTATTAGAAACAACTGAAGTAATAGCTGTTACAAATGTTCAAGAACTACCAGACGCAGTAGTCCCCGAAACACAAATTTCTGAAGAAAAGCCTGATATACGTTCACCATTAATGACTTTAGAAATTCAAGTTAATGAAAACAGCAAAGCAATGAAAATGAATAAAATTCCAGAAGAAATAAGTGCTGACGTAAATGTTACAACAAATGATGTGGCACAATGTTTTGAAGTAGTGCCAATGACACATATTCAAGATTATAAATTATCTGAAATATTAGAAAAACAACATGGTACACCGAAATTAGATACATTAAGTCATCTATATGTTTCGCAAATGATACCAACCGATACTGAAATAAATATTCTTAATAAAAATTTACCAAATGAAAAATTTGCTAATTCAAGTATAGTAAGTCAGGAAATTCCTGAAATTTCTGAAATTATTGCTTTAACAAATACTGAAGATTTAAAAGGCGATCTACCAGATAAACAACAAGGTACGCAACAAATTGATACACACACATCATTAATAATATGCGCAACAACAGTTAATGAACAAGAAAAATATTTGCAAAGTACAGAAATCCCTAAACAAGAGTCAGCTAATATCAATTTGGGTAATTATACATCTAAACAAGTAATGGAAGTAATAACATCAACTGATACTGAAGATTTATCAATATCTAAGTTATCTGAAATTCAACTAATTGATACAAGTATACAAGAATTATTACCTATAACTATTTCAGAAACATTATTAAACGAAAAAGAAAAACTATTGCCAGATTCAAAGCCTCTACATAAAAGAATAGTTGATATTAATTTTGAAGGGCAGCAGGTAGCTGAAACCACACATATAACAACTGAATCAAGTACTAAATTACTTCCTGAAAATGAAATTCCTGAACAACAGAAGGCAACACAAAACTTAAATTTATTGCAGCCATTGACACAGACAGAAACATTAATAAATCAAGAAGAAATATCATTAAAAGATGTTGAAATACCATCACAAAAAATTGCTTCGGTTAGTATACGAGGTGATGAAATTGCAGAGATCACTGAAATTGTACCAGTTTCAAATGTTGAAGTATTGACTGAATCTTTAATTAAAAAATCAGAAATAGAAAAAATAGAAGAAAGTACTGTACAAAAACCTTTAAAAAGTACATCAGTAATTGAAATAACATGCGCTGAAAAGGAAAAATCAATAAATATAGAAAAAATAGATAAAGTATATCATGCTGATATTACATTAGATGGACAAAGAGCAGTACAAATATTAGAAACAATACCATCAATATCTACAAAAATGATTAAAAGTGAAGCATTACCAGAGTGTAATATTGAATTTGATCAAATTCCATTCGAAAGCATTCAAACTGATCAAATCATTATACAAGAAAGTGAAAAATATTTCGATATTGAAAGTCCGTCATCTACCGCACAAGCTCAAATTACATATAAAACCAGTGAAGGATTTGAAACATCAGAAATTTTTGAAACCCAAGATAAACCTGCTGAAATTAAAACGACACTTGACAAACAAGTAACAGCTGGAATTGAAATCACAAAGACACATGTAGCAGTTAATACAAATACACTATCAGAATCATCAATCACAGAGTTTACGCTTAATCAACCTACAAGTAAAACTGCAAAAAATATTAAAGACATACAACACAGCATTACAGTATCAGAACATAATGCAGGAGAAATTGAAACAAACATTTCCGAATACCCCTTACCATTCCCAAAGAAAGCTGAAATTATATTAGAAGTGGATCGTTTTAAGCTTGCTGGTAAGTATATAAAAGAAAAATTCAAACATGAATATATATGGGTATATATATCTATATATATATATATATATATATATATATATATATAAGCAATAATAAATTGAATATTTAGAAAATAATAAATTTAAAGATGTAAATAAGTAACAGAAATTACCTATTTATTGCAACAACTTACTATTGAAATTATACATGCTTATGGTTCTATTAAACGGATAAAATTTTAATAAAAATTACATTTTCTTAAAATATGTAATATTAATTTTGTAGCATTAATTAATTAATTCGTATATTTTATTATTTGTGTAATACCGCTTGTGTATAAACTAAAGCACGCGTATTAATATTAATTTTATAAATAAACAACACAATGCTAATTTGAAACATAATATATAAAACTACCGATGATGTAATGAACAAGAGTTTTAAAAAAAAATTATTATTTGGATAATATTTACAAGATATGCAATTTAACGCTTGAACTGTGATATCATTATAAATATTATAACTTCTTATACTTAGTATTATAATATTAGTTCCTCGTGCAGCAATGTTATAAACATAAATTTGCAAAACTCTTAATTTTATATTGGTATATTCGCATAATATTTAAAATTTGTAAATTTATAAATTACTAGTACTTCCAATATAAAAATGAAACTTTATAACAAATTGACTTTAAATTTAAAGAGCAAAATGTATACAAGTTCTCTTCTGCATTATAAATATATTTACAACAACGTTAAGTATTTATAAAAGATACAAATTATTATTATTATGACATAATAGTATTGACATTAACGATAATATAGTTAATATTAATAGTAAAATATCAGTTTTTAACAATTAATTTAAAGTAAAGCCTGCATGTCATTAATTATATATGCCTTTGATTTTTCAATGAATTTCTATAAAAACATATGATTCTCTGTTAAAAATTTATAATTTATATTATAAGGTATACAAATTATATATTTATATTTGAATCACTTCTCTGACTAATAATCAACTTTTGAAACTACAAAAATTATTTTTCTTTCTTTCTATTTATAATATATATATATATATATAACAGAGAATTTATTGAATAAAAAGGCAAAATAATTAAATATATATATATATATGTAAATTATATAAATTCATTACGATTATATTTTTCTATATTTATTTTATTTTCAAAATACACACTGATTATTTAAATTATTCGGTAACATAGACTTTTTCTAAAATATACAAAACGAAATGACAATTTTTTAAACTAACATAATATGTTTCAATGACTTAAATAATTAACTTTTTATGTGTCAAATTTTCTATTTTTTGTAAAAAAGGAAATATTGATTAAAAAACTAAAAGTTTAGTCAGAAAAAAAAATTATATTTATTAACTTTTGTTTTTATTTTTTAAATAATAGCGAATAAAATAAACTATTAGATAAAATACAAAAATAATTTTATATCAATATTAAAACAGTTATTCTTATTTTAATGGTTTATAATATATTTGGAAAAGCATTGTATTCATTTAAATATTAAAAGTAAAGTAAACCATCTAAATATTATATAAATAGATAAAACAAATTTTACACTAACACTAAATAGTATATCCATCTTCAATAAATCTACGGCTCCTAAAATATATGTACTATCCTATCTTTACAACTCGTTATAAAAAGAGTCCATAATTAATAATAAATATAATGCATAGCGCCAATAAAAGGTATAATCGCTTCGTTAAAGCAGAAATAATAGTATAATTTAAATTTCCATAACAAAGGTAAGTTTAGAGATTACAAGCTAGGAAAAGAATACTACCGTTTCGACTATATATGTATATATATATATATATATATATATATACATATAAGAAACAACACAAAAATCACCCAAAACTATTACAACAATATAAAATTACACTAATTATCTAACATTTCAGAAACAACAGAAGCATCAGTGCAACAACACAAAATCACTAAAACACAAATCAAACAAAAACATCCAATGAAACAACAATTCAGTACAGAATCTGACTCAGAAATAACAGAAGAATACACAACTAAGTTTAGAAGAGGTAGTAATGAAGATAACACAGCAATTAAAACTAAGAAAACCATCATAAAAAAGAAAAAAACAAATAACGAGGGAGTGATCATCATAGAAGAGGAAATAGACAATGTAAAATCGACATTGCCATCAATACCAAAAAAACAATTCATGCAAATTGAAGAAGTAACAGGAATTTCAGATATTGAAGAAATTACTCCAACAATAATTCAAGAGAAAGAAGATACATCTGAAAATGAATATGAAACCCGAGCAAAATCGACAGAAACAGAAAAACTAATTATAACAGAAGAAGTAACATCAAAAACACATTCACCAAAAATAAAAGTAAATAGTAAAGAAACAACGAAAAATCGAGTCATTGAACGCAAAGGCCCGAAACAAACTGTAACTGAAATAGTTACTGTCGAGGAAGAAGGAAAAACTCCTGTTATCATTGAAAAAGTATTACCTGAAGAAGAAATTGTTACAGAGGAAACTACCAAGCCGCTGACAGACACAGAATCGGTTAAACCAGAAGAAATTGAAAAAGTAACCGAAACAGTTTCAGTTAAGGAGGAGGTAACCCCACCGGGTAAAGATAAAAAGACAACCAAAAAGAGAATTATAAAGCGGAAAGGTAGGAAACAATCTGTAACGGAAATTGTTACAGTGGAAGAGGAAGGAAAAGCTCCAAAGACAACAATTCTCGAACAACCGGAGGAGGAAGTAATCTCTGACGAAACTATCGAAGTTTTCCCGGCAATCAAATATGAAAAACCATTAGAAAGCGTGGAAACGCGCGAACAAGTAACAGTTACAGAGGAAATTACACACGAAGGAAAGCCGAAGAAAACGACGAAAAAACGTGTCATTAAACGTAGAGGATCTAAGCAAACTGTTTCTGAAACGGTTACTGTCGAGGAAGAGGGAAAAACTCCTGTTATCATTGAAAAAGTATTACCTGAAGAAGAAATTGTTACAGAGGAAACTACCAATATACCTGAAGAAGAGATTGTTTCAGCGGAAATTATTACACCAATTACAGTTGGAGAAATTCCGAAAACATTTGATGTTCAAAATGTGGCGGATGGAAGAATTCAGGAATACGACAGTACAAAGGTCAAAAAGCCAAGGACATCAAAGAAGAAGTCTAGTACTGAAGCGTCTATTAATCCTGACTATATCCCTGCCGTATTAGATTGTTTACCCGCAAATACACATCGTATTCCTAAATCACAGAAAGGACAACTTGATCAGCCTTCGAGAATGGCTGATTTAAAACCTATCAAAATTGAACGGAAAAGTGTATTGCCAACAAAAGTTACAATTACACAACCTTCAGATTTACCACAATTTCCGGGATTAAAACTAAAAAAAGTAGTTGTTCCAAAACGAAGAGAATCTAAGTCTATTAAAATTCCAAAAATAAGGTTAAAGAGTAGAATAGTTTTTATATCAGACTGGCCAACACCACTACAAATACCAATATTAACGATATTAGAAGAAAATCCCCTTCAAAGTGGTATTCTATCGAGAAATATAGATGAAGCGGAAAAAATTTTAAAGAAGAAATATAAGAAGAAAAAGTTACCGGGTAAAGATATCATTGACCTAGAAGAACTGGATAAAGAATTTGATGATTTGAAAAAGAAACCTCTGGAGAAGGTAGATGATTTAATGCCTTACGAGAAACGAAAAAAGACGCCGAAAGATCAACCATCGGAAGAGGATAAGAAATTAAAATTAGGTAAAGGTAAAATCCCTAAAGATGACAGTGTACCAGAAGATATACATTTAAAGAAAGTCCCCGAGAAGAAAGAGATATCTGTTGACAAGAAGGAGAAAAAACCAAAATTAATAGATGAACCGATGGATGTCGATAAAGAAAAAGAAGATAAACCAGAGACTACTATACAACCATTAGACTTTAAACCGAGTGATGTTGATAACGTGGATCTTGAAAAATATGAACCGGAAGAGAAAGAAAAACCAACGGATGAATCGCCTGAACGACCTCGAGAAAAGTACAAACGCCCCGACAAAAAGAAAAAAGATCAGGAAATCGATCATATTCCAATATTGAAGGGTGAACCGAAGCCCAAAAAATTAGAAGATGATACCGACGTTAAATTTAGAGTTCCAGTACAAGATAAACCTGATGAAATTCCTGAAGAAATTTTGTTAAAACCTTGGACTAAAGAAAAGCCTAAGGATGAAGATAATACGGATATAGATACAAATATGCAACTAAAACCATTTGAACCGATACACCATGGAGAGAAAGATGAAACTAAAAAATCGCTGAAAAAGAAGAGAAAACCAGTGATTAAAAAATCGTCTATCGATGAAACACCTGATACTCAAAAAGGCGAGTATATGGAATCATTAAATGCAAACACCTCCATACCGCTACCTAATGAATATGAAATACCTGAAAGTTGTGAAAAGGTAATAGATCAAATTACAGCTATCCAAAATATAAGCCCAGATGGTGAAAATGTTATAACGACAAAAAGGAAAGTGACAAAACAGAAAGGTAAAAAGCAGATTGTTACAGAAACTGTTACTATCGAAGAACAGGGAAAATCTCCCATATCCATAGTAGAAAAATATCCTGAAGAACTTATTACCTATGAAACATATCCACTACTGAATATTAAACATAAAGTACCTAAGCTTATAGAAGAAATAACAGAAATAGTAACAGTTATAGAAGAACTATCGCCTGAAGGCAAAAAGAAAAAAACGACTAAGAAAAGAGTTACTAAACGCAAAGGAAACAAACAGTCTGTAATTGAAACAATTACTATTGATGAAGAAGATAAATCTCCAATAACTACTATAATAAAATTGCCACAAGAAAAAATAATTATTGATGAAATAAAACCACTTTTTGTAACTGACAATGAAAAACTTGACGAAGTAAGAGAACAAGTGACAGTGACTGAGGAAAAGACACTTGAAGGAAAACCAAAGAAAACTATTAAGAAAAGAATCATTAAACGGAAAGGTTCTAAACAGATAATAAACGAAGTAGTAACTGTTGAAGAAGAAGGAATAACTCCATTAATCATAGGTAATATACCTCAGGAAGAGACTATAATTTCAGAAACTACTACTTTAATTCCAGCAATACCGTATGAAAGACCTGATGTTACGACGGAATTAGTAGAACAAATCACAGTCATAAACGAAGTAACACCAGAAGGAAACGATAAAAAAATAACTAATAAAAGAATCACTAATCATAAAAATAAAAAGCAACCAGTGATTGAAACCGTTAAAATTGAAGAAGTAGGAAAACAGCCTATTATATTCATTAATGAAGTTCCACAAGTTGATATAGATTTTGACGAAGAAACTGGCTTACTAGCAGAAGTAGAAAATGATAAACCTATTGAGAAGGAAAAAGTAACAGAACAAATAACTGTTGCTCAAGAAATAACACCTGAAGGTAAAGAAAAGAAGACAATAAAAAAACGAATTACTAAACGAAAAGGTTCGAAACAATCAATAACTGAGATAATCACGATTGA